AAGATATCTATATAATCCAAAATATGATTTAATTTAATATAAATATTGCTAATACTTGTGTGTGTGTGTTAGTAATGTTTATATTAAATTAAATTGTAATATTAATATATATTATTAATTTTGAATTTATTAATATATACATATATATATTAATAAATCTATTTTAATAAATCCATTTTAATTTTATATATATTAATAAATCCATATATATTAGTAATCTGTTTTAATAAATCTAATTAAAAAAAATCAATCTGTAGCTATCATTGTACAAAAGAAGACTTAATTAACGCAATATATCAAGAAAGAAAGAGACAAGAGATCAATTACATTAAGAATATTAAACTTATTGTTTTACGACGTTGTCCACTCTAGTTTTCCTCCACAAAGATTTATCAATTTTGTTTAGCGAATGAATCGTCGGTTTCTTTCATCAATTCGCCAAATTAACTCGGTTACTCGATATACTTTTCATTTTAAAATTTCTTACAGATAAGAAGTGTGAAAGCTAAATATTATTTCACTCGTATTTTATATATTTCTTTTAACAAAATAATAAAGTTGAAAAATAACCGAGACACCTCGAATGTGATGAATATTTCTGCCAATTGCAAAATAAACTGTTGACGGTATGCAAAGAGAATTTTTCACTTTATTGACAATATTTACGAGAAATTGTGAGGATCAAATTGTTAAATGTTTTCATTTGTTATTTACGCAAGCAAATTTCAATACTATTAGCACTTGCTGCCATTAACTTTTGTTTTCAAAGAAATGATTCGTTAAGCTGGAATTGGCTTGATAAAGATGTTCTGAAATGTCATATCTGAAATGATTTTCATATCTGAAATTTTTGATGAATGACCGTGACTCCGTGTAAATGAAACTCAAAAAGTACTCAGAAACAGAATGCAAAGTCCAAAATAGAAAATAATCTTAAAAAAAGAATCTTAGCGTTTTCTTTTTTCTATTATGTAAACGAATAATGTATTCTCAAACTTTCTAGATTTTTTTCAATATATTATGTTGATGACACTATGTTCGGGACAAAACATGAGCAATGTTTATAAGATAATAAATATTTATCGTTAGAATTTTGTATGCATTTACACAGGAAATTTTTAAATGCAAAATTGAATAGAAGTACATTAGAAGAAAAAAATGTACAAAATATTCAAAGTATAGTGTTTTCTATAAAATATGACATATAAAACAATTTACAGTGCTTTATACTCTGATTTTTCTTTTAAACATACAGAATGTTACGAAACAGGTTCGTGTTTTTTTCAGATATCTCGCATATCATGCATATTTATGAAAGATCGAGAGTTGCAAATATACAGTGCATA